TAATTTATCCGTGTATATCCATTAGATAGCCGCGATACCCGGGCCGAACCGTATTGCGTTGCGCCGCGGCGCGCCGCTCCGCGCCGCGCGTCTGTCGCGAGTTCGTGTCCCCCTCGCCCCGAGTCCGCGTAGCACGTCCATCTTGTTGGCCCCTTGTCCCCGTTGCTCTCTGTGACTCTGTATACGAAGGAGCGGAACGCGCCAAGCCAACCGTCGGCGACTACGCGTTGTACATCGATGAACGATACCCGACGAGGGGTATTCGCCGATGGCATGCAACGCTCGTCGCGGCCATTGGTACGCGCCCGTTCCTTTCTTCGTCGCGGCCACGGCTGCTCCGGCGGCCGCGCCATTAAAGATCCGTCCATTCCGGATCCCGCGTCTTTCACGTCTCGTCACTCTCGTCTCTTCTCCCTTCTTGCTCTCACGGCTACGGGCATTATCGGGGTAGAATTTTGTTTCGAGCGCGAAAAAAAAATGGGAAAAGAATAGAGAGAGAGAGAGAGAGAGAGAGAGAGAGATGGAAAGATACGAGAGAGCGGCGGCGGCTAAAAGGAACGTCGAGTCCATCGTCTGGTTGTGACGCGTACGTCGTACCAAAGGATGACTCACTCTTTGTCGTTCGCGACAAGAGCGACCAGAGCGACGAGCCCGTCGAGAGAAGAGCGCCGCGAGGTTAAAATGTAATCGTCATACATCTACGCGGCGTTCCTTCTCGCTCGTCATCGTCGTCGTCATCATCGCGAATGGCGTCTTCCCGCCCTCGCTCGCTCACTCGCTCGCTTCAACGCGAATGTTTACGCGGACTTGGACTCGGGACTCGATTACTCGTTCGCGGTTCGTTCGTCGCCTTCGTGGCAACGGCTGACTTTTCGAGGTTAAACGGACGATAGCACGTTTCGGCAGATTTCGAATGACGCAACCGCTGTCGCATATCGGTAATCGCGACGGATATAGGACTTCGTCGAGAAAAAGTCACGTACATAGGCACGAGATCGCGCTCTTTTTATTAGAGGTATACTTGAAAGTCTCAAATCGTGCAAGGACCAAAGCTATTTGCTCCCACGATAGCAATATGGTGCGCATTTTTCATGATATCGTCGTGAATCGATATTGCACAACGAAAAGTCGTTACAAATCCAGTACGCAGTTTGCCGTTGCGCATTGTACGTTATATTTAATTAACGCGCACAACGCTTTCGCACGTTAATTAAGCCTGTGTTAAAAGGCCAACGTATTCACTCGTCTGAGATTCTCCCAGATTCCCCAATCGGCTTCTTCGTCTCACCTCGAATCTTGGCTGCTGCGTATAACGTGTGTGTGTGTGTGTGTGTGTGTGTGTGTGTGTGTGTGTGTGTGTGTGTGTGTGTGTGTGTGTGTGTGTGTGTGTGTGTGTGTGTGTTTGTTTATCCGTTACTCGCGTTAGTATTTTTGACTTAGCAAGTAATGGAACGATCCTCGAGATTAACTTTACGTAATGCATTTTGCAGGATGAAAAATGAAGTATGTCAGACACGTTTAATTAATATTCTTCAGTGAACGAAGATGAATAGTGAGCAGCATGCATTGCCAGCGACTACGCAGGCACAACAAGAGGTGAGATACCTTCCAGTCGCAAAACAGGCTATACACCAAACTACAAATGCGCAAATTACGATTACACAAATGCACTTG